CCGTGCTGTGATGTACAACCGTGTTTTATGAGCCGGTTAAAAACAAAACAACAAACAACAAAAATCCCCACCGAGTCTGATGAGCATGGGGATTGCATCTACAAAAACTGTTGAGCGTTTGGGGAAAATGCAAAGAAAGAGCTGCTGAAACAGTTGCAATGAAGCCTGAGGAAAAACCTAGGAAAAACCATGCTTAGCCTGCATGGCGAGTACTGTTTTAATGCTCATTCCACTTTTATGTAAGAAACCCACCCTGGAAATTGTGGAGGCAGAGCATTCGAGGCGCATGTAAATGAGACAGCCGGGAGGCTCACTCTCCATGCAAAGGCCTCGGCCCTACATCAGAAAAGTGTGGTTGGAAATTGTCGAGCAGGGACAGGTGGCTTGAACATCAGGAAAGCATACAAGAAAGATCTGCGTTTTGGAGCCCTCTCGGCATTTCCCGGAACCGTGAGTCGCCGGCAGTGGAGGAGAACTGAGTGGCAAACACCCTGGAGTGTTGAAGCACCTCTTAATTAGAGGCTGTTACTACCACCAACAGTGCCACTGAATCAGAACAGCTAGGGGGGAACCCCCAAGGCCACCCTGCCACTCAAATACAGCTTCAGAGCTGGTAGAACCTAGTAAACATGTTCATGCCTCAAATATTAATAAGCATCTCACAACGGAGGCAGCATTCAATCGATTCAATGAAGCGTGAGGCCCTTGTGAGCACCCGGCGCAGGGCACCTGCACATGCCACACACCCATGAAGCCAGGCCTGCTTGCCACCTGCCAGGTGCCACACTGTGCTACTGGCGCATCAGTCGGCATGGGGTGTAGGCCCCGGAGTTAGGTATTCCTCTTCAGTGGTACTTCCGATAAAGAAAGCACTTGACAAGTAAACTCGTCTCTGAGAGCCTGTTACTCTTTTGAGATGCCTTTGCTTTACACCCCAATTATTAGGGAGTTCTTATGCCTCCTCTCCCTTCCCTGCCCATTGAGCCAAAGGTATGAGTTCCATTTTGGGAAAACATGGAAATCAGAGTTAGGTTGTTCTTGGGTGTTGTCTAGTCAGCTCCTGGGTGGAACAGAATAAAACACCCTAACCATCGTTGCCATCGTTACGCCCATTATTTCAGCCACTGTGTCGGCCCTTCATGTCAAGGGTCTTCTTGGCTGTGTTTTAACTTTCCCAAACACGATGCCCTTTTCCGGGGACTGGTCTCTCCTGATAGCATGTTCAAAGTACATTAGGCAAAGTCTCGCCAGCCTTGCTTCTAAGGAGCCTTCTGGTTGTTTTTCTTCCTGACTTAGACCCACTGCCATCAAGCTGATTCTCAGTCATAGCGACCCCATGGGACAGAGTAGAACTGCCTCTGTGTTACCAAGACTTCAAATCTCAATGGGAACAGGAAGCCTCGTGTTTCTCCCACGGAGCAGCTAGCTGGGGTTCTGGCTACTGGTTTGGTGGTCAGCAGCCCACGGCATGTCATCCACTCGGCCACCCAGACTCCCTCCCACAGTTACTGGTTCAATACCGAAATGTTAAGATCCTAATACCAAAGGTACTGTTTGCCACCACGCATTGGCATGGGATAAAAGTCTTCATACAGAGATGTGATAGTGAAAAATACAAGTTACTAACTGGACTGCAGACAAACTGGAGATCTCAAAAGGCAAAAAGTTAAGCACCAATGGATTCACGACGAGGATTTCCTCGAAAATGCAATAAAAATGATGTCGAAATCATAGGGAGCCATGCCATAAACAGAAATCCAAGTATGAAGAGGATGCAGAGGAGATGAGAATGAATCCCAAACCCCTAGTGCAGTGGTTTTCAACCTTCCTCATGCTGTGACCCTTTCAGACAGTTCCTCATGTGGTGGTGACCCCCAAGCCATAAAATTATTTTCATTGCTACTTCTTCACTGTCAGTTTGCTACTGTTATGAATCGGGTGACCCCTGTGAAAGGGTTGGGCCACGACCCGCAGGTTGAGAACCACTGCTCTAGTGGTTAGAGCGGTTCTGCTGACAAACCGGAACCAGCAGTTGATGGTGTGGCAACAAAGAGGGGGAGGAACTGTGCTGAGAAGACAGCTAGGCAACAGGAGAGTACTGATTTCATGAAGTGTAGCCGGTGTGTTCTGAAGGGGCCCTGGTGGCACAGTGGATAAAGCACTCCACTGCCGAAAGAATGTGCGGTGGCTGGAACCAACCTGCTGCCTCGTGAGAGAAAGACATGGCCGCTGTTTCCATAGATTCACAGTCTTGGAAACCCCAGAGGGCAGGTGGCCTTTGTCCTGCAGAGTCAGTATGAGTCCAAACAGACCCGATGGGAGTGGGTGTTTAAATTAGAGTCAAACATTTATGATTCAGAGTATTTCTGATCCCTTGCTTTGATGTTTTCTACTAACCAGTGATGTCCTCGTTTAGAAAACTTCTGGACTACTATGCTCACTCCTGCTGCAGCAGCTATAGTAGGAGTGGCTTGAACAAGCCTTTGAAAGCAGAGGATTATATTTATAGTTCCTATCTTACGCACTTTTTAAAAGTTAACCTTATCACTTGCATTCACACACTGATTGCATTTTAAATACAGGGCCATATTTATTGGCTGATTATAGTTTCCTGAACTTTTTTATTTTAATTTTTGTTATTAACCACACTTTCTCCGTGTCCAGTTTCCCTTCTTTAGTGTGGCCTGTGGTCACACACATTTGCAAAAACCAACTGTGGTTCAGCCTCATTCTGGATGCTTCGTATTTGCGTCTTGCCCTTTGGAGGACTTGCCCACACAGGCCAGCAGCGGGTTGGTTCGCCTTAGTGACCTAGTTTCACTTGGGTTCTTGCAAAGCATTGGCTTTAGTTTTCATAGAAATATTCCCCTTCTTCCCCCTTTTTTCTGCAGTTATATGTCATCACTTTACATAATATGCACTTAATTAAATTTCCGACTGAGGCCAATTGGGAGAAGCAGCCTTGGGAACCTGCATGGCAGCTGGTGGGAACAGAAGGGTTAGGGTAGAGTCCTGGCTTCGAGAATGCTGTGTGCTTCGGGCTCCTGCTGGCATGTTTCAGAGGGACCATAGAGCAAGGTCAGTCTGCCTAGTTGGTAGCTGGCCTCCCCCATGTTGCATGGGGCTTTTCACACCCATCTTAGTGTAGACCCCATATTAGGGGAGACCCCAGCCCCACGGAGGAACCCAGGTTTCCCATGGACTTTGAATTTGTTGCTTACATTTGAAATCCTTATTTTTCCACAGGCTTTTCACTGTGTCTTGGTTTGGGCTTCTCTGTGGGGAGTGGGGGTGAATGAGGAGCGAGAGTCCCCAGAAGGAATGGTCTGTATTCCTATGGTATTTTCCTCAAACTGTCCAAACCACGTTGTCCGAATCTGAGGAGGATTTCTTCCTGAAGCGTGGTGACAGAAACCTAATATATGTGTATAATGATTACTCAGCTGGGCCGCCAGACCCGCGGCCATCAGTGTGATTCCAACTCCTAGTGAGCCTCTACGGTAGCGGCTCTCAACCCGGGGGGTCAGACAACCCTTTCACAGGGGTCGTCTGAGGCCATCGGAAAGCACATATTTCCCATGGTCTTAGGAACTGAGACACCGCTCCTCTATCCGTCTCCAGGCGGGTCCGCCCACATGCGGAGATGCCCACCTATGAGTACCTAGCATGGAATGTGTTACCCACGCTATACCATGCTTCAAGACAAAATGTCATTTATTTGTAATTAGAAATAAATATTTCACACTATATAATTACATATTATTTCTGTAATTAATCACTATGCTTTAATTATGTTCAATTTGTAACAATGAATATACATCCTGCATATCAGATAGTTACATGATGATTCACAGCAGTAGCAATTAGGAAGTAGCAGCGAAAAAACTTTATGGTTGGGGGTCACCACACCATGAGGAACGGTATTGAAGGGTCGTGGCATTAGGAAGGTTAAGAACCACTGCTCTACAGGGTTTCTGTCTCTTTGTAAATCTTTATGGGAATGGCCAGCCTCATCTTTCTTTCTTGGATTGGCTGGTGGGTTTGAACTGCTGACTTTGATGTTAGCAATCCAATGCTTACTGGACAGAGGCCACAGGGCTCATTCTGGGCTGGCTACCAGAGAGGAGAAAAAACAATGAGTAGTGTGACTAGTGGGGGGGAGGGGAAGCAGAAAGCATTTTGAAACAAATATGGCCGCATCCTCAGGTCAGGCTAGAAGATTCTGCTCATGATTCTGAGTGCAGGGCGTTCTGGATCTGCTTGGTTTGGGCCACTTTCTTTAGTCAGAAATTTCCGGAGCATTGTCTCTGATACAGAAGAATGATGAGGCAAGCAGGTGTCCTAATATTTGTTGGTCTGTTTGTTTTTTAAAAGACCTATTAATGAAAGACTAGTGAGACCCAGTCACACAGAGAGAAATTCTAGAACCCCTAAGGGCAAAATTCCCATCAGGAATCAGAAGGAGAGAGGGATTTACAGGATTTATTTTTCCATTTTAGTTTTAAAAATCTTTTTCCTAAGAGTTAAAAAAAATCTATTATGGAAATGTACTAATTGCCCTTGAATGGATTCTGGCTCATGGTGACCCCATGAGTTTCAGAGAAGAACTGCACACCCGGGTTTGCCATGGTGGCTGCTCTCTCAGCAGTAGGCCACCAATCCGTTCTTCCCAGGCACTGGGGAGTGGACTCCACTCTCGGATGTATCTGGCGATGCTTACACCACGTGACCGTTTTTTAGGCGTTGGTAACCTCTGCCTAGACCCCTTGGCCTGTGGCCCACCAGGAATGAGCTCTGATTGGATGCTTCCTAGGCGCTGGGATCCTAGGTCACCCTAGCTGTCACCCTAGCTGGGTGACAAAGGCCTCACATGCCCTAGTCAGAGAGGAGGTGGCATGGAGACCGGCTCCTCCCGGGTCTCAGAGTCCCGGACGCCCTGACCCCTCGCCAAGAGCAACGCTGAGTCACCCTCTCCCTGTTCTCTCCCTCTCGCCCTGTAGGCAATGTGACTGGAAACAGTAACTCCACGTTCATTTCCAGCGGGCAGGTCATGAATTTCAAGGGCGACATCATCGTGGTCTACGTCAGCCAGACGTCCCAGGAGGGCGCGGCGGCAGGCGGCGGCGGGGAGCCTGCGGAGCCCGGGGAGCCGGGGCGCCCGGTGCAGGAGGAGAGCACGGCGCGCTGTGACACCTTCGCCGGCAGCGGTGCGCGCCTGGCTGACCAGGGCGACAAGGGCGCAGGCGAGGAGGCAGCGGCTGCGCCGGTGCAGGAGCAGGGGGCGCAGGAGCCCGTGCCTCGCGCTCCCCGGGCCTGGCGCTGACCGCCTCCTGGGGCGCCCGCACAGCGCGGCTTTCCCACCTCGATTCTTGGAACTGGAAGTGGGACCCCACGAGTCCTGGGCTCCCCTGAACCCCCCCTGCCAACCTTCCACGTGTCCAATGGAAATAAGCACATGGCCCAGGATTGGGGACAGAGGAATAGGGTGGGTGGGCCCGACCTTGCAATGGGATATCCACCTGACATCTCAGCTCCGAGTTCAGAATTCCCAGGCCAGTGCCTTTTCTTCCTCCTGAAACCTTTCAAGGGCTTCCACTTGGCTGGTTCCAAATCTGGTACCTTTGTTCAAAATGACATGACCACCTCTACCCACCCTTCTCCTCACATAGAAACAAGGACTTTCCCATAACCAGGTATTCACAGGGGGACAGGGGGTCCCCCATTCCTAAGCCTGTCTTGAAAGCAGATTTGTAGGCAGAATTTGTATGAAAGTTGGAACCTTTAGGTATTGGTATCTAATGTCACTAGAAAAATATCTGTCTTAGTATATCATATATAGGATACCATCCTCTGCGTAAGGAAATATTAAATAAAGGCTTCCAGATACACTAAGGCATCTTTAACATAACAATACAGTATAAAGAGTCATAATGTTTTGATGTGTGTCCCAAAGCAGTGCCCACTTGTTATTACAGCCATTGCGTGCATCTTGAATTTTTTAGTGTGAGAGGGTTTACAGAAGTTCCTCATGGCAAGTTGTATGCAGTTCGCACATTTGTAACCCAGGGACCGTCTGCACAAGCTTCTCTTCAGTCATCCATGTTTTAGCTTCTTTTAGGAGGTTTCTCTCCTGCCCCAACATCATTTCATCAGTCATTTTTCTCTATGACATTGGGGGTGGGGGGCTGGTAAAAACATACACAGTCTTCCACCACTTCAGTAATTGCAATGCGTCCCAATCAACTCACCGGCATTGATGACATGCTTCAAGGTTTGCAGAAATCCTCACCATCTTTCTCCGACTTGTCCCCCCACCGCTGGCTTAAAGTCACTGTCCCCTGAGCCTCTCATCTAACCTTTCCAGTTGCTGTTGTCAATGTGATCTGACCTAGATCATTCTCTGAAAGAGCACCTTGCTGCAGGCGGATATGCTTACTAAGATCAACTGTAGTTCTGACTCAAAGAGGAGCCCAGGGGACAGTAGAAAGATTTCCTCAGGGCAGTCGATCTGGGGGTTCATGCGGCCTCGCTGGCTCTAGAAAGTGACATCTGTTTTCATAAACTGCCCTGTTTTATTTGGATCTGTGCTTTCGTTTTTGTCTGTATTTCACTTTCTCAGAATATTTTTCCGGGTATTTTCCCCCTTCACCCTGTTGAGATCGTCTGAAGGTTGTCGTGAGCATCCTCCTAAGAGCAACCACCTTCTTTAGTGCCGATGGTTTGCCTTTGGCTTTGTGAAGTGGGATTGATGGAGCGCTTTTGAGGGAAGGCTAGAAATGCGAAAACCCGGAGGGAAGAGCTTTTGTCTTCTGGAAAAAATGTCTTGTGTTTTCAATTTTCTAAAAGGAGGGGACAGGGAACCCCCATTTTTCTTCTGTGTGTGGCAATCCATAAGCAGAACCGAGATGCAGGGGGTCTCTCTGCTGCTCCCCACCGTCCCGAGAGAAAGCTTGAATGAGATTCATTTATTTATGCACTCAGGCAGAGGCAATTGGGTGCCTGGTTAATCAAATCTCCCCATTGCTGCAGCCTGCCGTTCTTATTCTGGGTTCCTCTCTGGAAAAGATGTGGGAAATTAATAAGACGTGCACACAAAGGGAAGGAGGTGTTGGGGCAGTTCAAGAATGAAAGGATAAAAAGCCGAACTATTTATTTATATTTTCTCTTCCTAGCTAAGAACGGCCGACGTGTATTCAGGCGACTGCCCTGCTTTCTTCCTGAGTAATTGCACGTCTGAGATTCCGCCTTGTAGAAATGGAAAATGTGATTGCCGTTTTCCAGTGCATTTAAATTAAAACCCAGCTGGCTTCCTATTGTGAATGTGAGAGATGTTATTGGAGAGACATTTTTTTCTCTTGTCCTCAGTCCTCTGGGGAGGATGCAGAGAGAGGGTGAGGCAGATGGAGGGGAAGGAGTCCTCGGGGTGGTTTCACCTGTGGTGGCCAGGGAGTGCTTGTCCTCGGATCCTGTGCAGAAAAGCTAAAATACCTAAGCTAGTTAAAACGAAGGTTGCACTTCTGGTAAGATAGGAGAGCACTACGCATAGCTACTGTCCAGGACTCTAGTGGTCCCAAACGCCAGATGCCAGGGATGACCACTGGTCATTGTTTCTCTCTACTGGTGGTAGTTCTGGAAATGGTAATTGGTTTTGAAGGCAGAAACAGAGGCTGACTCTAATTGATAGGACCTTGAGCCACATGAAAAACCATAGGAAATAATAGAAGCCCTGTTCTGCCCTTTTATTCCTATCCATCTATCCAAAGACAGATGCTAAAGATGGGAGAAATCATTCTGTCTTTTAACTTGTGATCTATTAAACAAACTGTAGTACACGAAGTAGAATGCTGAGCTGGAAAACCAGATTTCTACCCTTGATCCCATCATCAACAATGCAAGGGGACTGCTAAAAGTTCATGGGAAAATGGAATGGAAGGATCATGGGATTTTTCCCACACACTTTTTGAAGCCTCCTACTTCAACAGTATCCCGTTTACTTGTAGGGTGACACGGTTTTACGGTGGTTTGCTGTTTTCCCCATAAGTCAGTAACAGGATTTTTACCAGCGCCCCTAGCCAGTGCTATTAAAAGGATGCCCAAGTGAATGCTAGGAAAAGTGCTGGGGGCTCCTTACATAAAAGGTGCCCTAGAAATCATACGAGTCTGTCTAACTTCAGGAAAAGGTCGTATTCCGTTCCATGCTGATCCTGACTAATTCTGTATTGATCCCAAAATAATAAAGCAATGGATGAGATGTGAACAGCTGTGTCTGTGGCACATGTAAAGAGAGTGGAATGAAGAGAAACATAAAAATGATTTGGGAGACGTGATCAAAGATTACAAAGAAATTTATTTGATCCTAAAAAACTGTTTCTTATATTTCTTTCCCAAACCAAGGTCTTTCTAAAATAGTGGCCAGATGTATTCCTGATCTCTGTGGTGTGTGTGTGGCACCAAACCTTGGGGCTGTTGGTCCTTAGTGTTTCTTCTGAGATGTGAGCACAGCAGATTCTTTGCTCTGACGATCTATCTATCTCACTGCCCTCCAGTTGATGCCGACTCGTGGCAACCCTCCAGGACCGGGTAGCACTGCCCCTGTGAGTTTCTGAGACTGTACCTCTTTAGGGAGCAGAAAATCCCCCTTTCTCCCAAGGAGCAGCTGGTGGTTTCAAACAGAAAGGGATGCATCTCCTTTGGATGGGTGGGTCTTTACCACATTTCATTGAGCTACTCAACAGCAGAAGGAGCACTCCCTCTCCTGCACCTTAGGAGTCCCTGTCTGATGCGAACCGTGTTTGATGACGACGAGCCAGAACGTTGCCAGTTCAGACCTGCCCAGAGATGCCTTGGGTGACAGGCCTGTGGCTCTGTTTCTGAAAGCCCCACATGCAGTTCTGTTCTGCACCCGCAGGGTCACCAGGAGATGGCATGGGCAGCTGCTGTCAACCTGCACGCACAGAGCAGTCTGAGTGTGACGTAGCGGAACCTTCCTGTGGGGGTGGGGCCGGGAGCTCTTATATACAAGCCGCACCAACTATTTATTTAGGTCACAGTTCTGTGACTTGACCCAACTCCGGCCTGGCCTGAGCCCAGCTGGGCTGACCCACCCCTGTGCCATTGGCTGGCTGGTTGGTTGGTGGAGCTGTGTTGGGCTTTCTGTACATGGTAGGCACCTTGTGGGCTGTGCTTGTGAACGAACTGCCTTTCAACTATTAAAGCCTGGCCCCGAAAAAAAAGTGGGGACCTCACATTGGTCTCTGGCGGGGCCAGCAGAGGGCACAGACAGAGTCCTAGTGGGTCATTGAACTCAAGCCCACAGGTGCTGAAAAGAGCAAGAAGGCCCTGAAGGCAGGGCCTCCAGTGAGAGAACCCCATGCCCCATGAGGTTTGACCAAGGAGGAGCCCCAACTACATGTCTAGATGAGAGGACAACTTAGTGACCTCTGACTTTGCCCCCACTCTACAGTTCTCTTGATCCCAGGATGAGCTAGAAAGATCACCTGGTGCCATGTCTGCCCTCAGCTCCCTCTAGTAAAACTGACGTGCAGGGCCGTTTTCAGAGAATCCTCATTTTAGAAATTACAAATAGCCGAAAAGAAAAAGTCTCAGGTCTCTCTCTTTTTTAATAGTTTTATTAGGGGCTCATACAACTCAGCACAATCCATAGTCTAAGGTGTCTTGCAGGGACTTCCTTTTGGTCACGAGGGACTGGTAGAGTGGCCCTGTTTTCCTGTGCTCTGGAACATGCAAACATGTCCCCCTCCAACCTTGGTTTAACTTGGTCCTGCCACTCATGGCTTTCTTTGGGCAGCTGCTTCATCATTTAGCCTATTTTCCACAAGTGTTCATAGATTTAGTTCCTATGGCTGGTGCAGGGACTGAAGGGGACAATGTATGGCCAAGCACCAACAGAACCCTTAGGAGATACCAGTAGAAACAGAATTATTAGATATCATTGTCCCTCTCTGTTGCCTGTCTCTGCCTACCTGTGTCCAGTGGGTGGGGACCTTTCCAGTCCTGGACACAAGTCATCTCTAGACCTCATGTTCCTGTGTCAAACGATGCAACTATAACCTACGTCTGTTAGCCACCTAGGACCTCTCTGTTCGACTAAATTAGACCCAATGGACACACCTTTCCCACAAGCAGTTGACAAGGCTGGTGATTGACCCTTGCTGCCATCATATACTGAGAAAGTGGAGCCTCTCAATCTGACCTCACACCCAGTCTTGACAATTAGCCTGGTGCTGTTGAGAAGACAAAATGCCCACATGCTGGGAGGAAGTGACAGCAGAGAATCAAATTCCTTCAGGAGGGAATTGGGGT